GGAGGGAGGAGGGGGAGGAGGAGAAGAGGAAAGGAGGAGGAGGAGGAACAAGGGGAGGAGCAGGAGCAGGAGGAAGAGGAGGAGGAGGAGGAAGAGGAGGAGGAGGAGGAGGAATAATGGGAGGAGGAGGATGAGGAGGGGGAGTCGGAGGAGGAAGAGGGGGAATCTGATGATGGTGCTGATGATGATGCTGCTGCTGATGATGATGCTGATGATGATGATGATGATGATGATGATAATGTTGTTGATTATGATGATGGTGATGATGATGATGATGATGACGATGGTGATGATGATGCTGATGATGATTCTGATGATGATGATGATGATGATGATGATGATGATGATGATGATGATGATGATGATGATTACACTGATGATGCTGCTGATGATAATGCTGCCGATGACGATGCTGATGCTGATGCTGATGATGAGGTTGATGATGATGACGATGATGATGCTGATGATGATGAGGAGGAGGAGGAGGATGATGATGGTGATGCTGATGAAAGAGTGATGTGATGATGATGATTATATGGAAGAGATGGAGATGGATGAGGATGCTGATGATGATGCTGCATGCTGCTAGAGATGATGATGATGATGATGATGATGATGATGATGATGCTGATGATGATGATGCTGATGATGACGAGGAAGAAGGAGGGGAAGAGGTAGGATGGATGGAGGAGGAGGAGGAGGAGGATGAGAAGAGGAGGAGTTGGAGTATGAGCAGGAGTAGTAGAATAGAGAGGAGGCCGAGGAGAGGAGAAAGAGGAGAGGGAAGGAGGATCAGAAGAATTGATTAGAGGAGGAGGGGGGGTCGGAGGAGGAAGAGGAGGAGGAGGGTGAGTCGTCGTCGTCGGAGGAGGAGGAGGATGAGGAGGAGGAGGAGGACGAGGATCAGGATGAGGAGGGTGAGTCGGAGGAGGAGGAAGAGGAGGAATCAGATGATGATGCGGAGGAGGAGGAGGAGGAGGAGGAGGAGGAGGAGGAGGAAGAGGAAGAGGAGGATGGGGTGGAGGAGGAGGAGGAGCTGGGTCAGAGCAGGAGGAAGAAGAGGAGGAGGAGGAGGACGAGGAGGAGGAGGAGGAGGGTGTATCGTCGTCGGAGGAGGATGAGGAGGAGGAGGACGAGGAGCAGGATGAGGAGGGTGAGTCGGAGGAGGAGGAAGAGGAGGAATCAGATGATGGCGGACGAGGAGGAGGAAGAGGAAGAGGAGGATGGGGTGGAGGAGGAGGAACTGGAGTCAGAGCAGGAGGAGGAAGAGGAGGAGGAGGAGGACGAGGAGGAGGAGGAGGAGGAGGGAGAAGAAGGAAGCCATACAGAGGCGATTGAGGACGCAGCTGGCGCGCGGCGCGCCGGCAGTCCTCGACGGGGGGCGTTGGTCGCGGAAGCGCGCCCGGGATCGGTGGCGAGTGCTGGGGGGGGGGGTCTGCTCAGAAGGCTCGGGCGGCCTCGGGCCTGCCCAGAAGTCTTCTAAGCCTCCTTCCCTCCTCCCTCCTGCTCTCCTCTCCCTGCCCGCCTTCCCCCCCTTCCCTCCTCCAGCCTCCTCCCCCTGCCCCCGAGAGGTGCGGAGGGGCGGGTCTCTGCTCAGAAGGCTCGGGCGGCCTCGGGCCTTGCGAGGAGTCTTTTGACTACCGTCGGCCCACATAGTGAGGATGGGCAAACATCCCAAGGGTGCCCTTGCATCCTTGCCTCCTCGGTCCATCCTTAGCGACTTTCGCTGGCCAGCCTCGTTCGAAAAACGTTACCGTGGCCGTCCAAGGCCCGTGCATCCTTTCCGCGCATCCTTATGATACGGGGTGACTGTAAGCCTTCCCGAAGACGCAGTAAACTTGTCAGAAGTCCACTGGGAGGAGAACGAGGACGAGGAGCAGAAGAAGGAGAATGGAGGAGGACGAGAGACGAGGACGGGAGACGAGGCGGAGGAGAAATGATGTCGAATATGAAAAACGGTACAATCATAAACTTTCGGCGCTCCGTACAGATTTCTTGGATCCTTGCTGTGGCCCCCTCCGGCGGCGCCTCCAGCGCGGCCCTTGGCGCGCTCCGCGCGCCAGGGAGGGGGTCTGGCCCGGATCCAAGAAATCCGCGCGGAGCGCCAAAATGTTACGTCTGAAGGCACAGAACATTTCTCAGAAGTCCAGGGTCTTCTGAGAAGACCAGTGGCCTGCCCCTGCTCACTTCCACCCGGGCGTGCCGCCGACAGGAGGATTCAGTGTTTGGAAGGTTCCTTCTTTGACGAGGGCGGCGGTGATGTACATGGCAAATCCCCGATTGCAGTTTCACTGGCTTCCAGACCTTGGGTTCCCTATCTAATGGTTCCTTGGCCGATGCCCGCACCGTCTGTGATGTCGCTTCCTTCTCGCCTGGGCGAAGCCCAGACTTCTTGCGAAACCTCAGCGGGTCGGGTCCCTGGTCAGGGCGAGAGGCCCACCGGCATTGCCGATGAGGTTTTTCTCACTTGAAGGCATGGGCTCTCCTCAGATGTTCCTTG